GAGAGCAGTGGAGCGAGGGCATCTCTCCAAACGTGCAAAGCGAGATTGAATCCTCCACTGGAACATGGAAAGATACATTTTCATTGTTTAGCAGTCATTATTGGTGGGGAATAGTGGAGCGAGGCCATTTATCTGCCCACTTGCCGGCCATGATAGGTGAGGGTCTGGCAACTCTGAAGAGTGTTTTCTCACTTCTTCTGCCCGCCAAGCGGCCGGTACAGCTTTGTTTTTTTTCTTTTCCTAAGTGGCCGGTACAGCTTTGTTTTTTTTCTTTTCCTTCCAGCGCTTCTCTCCGTTTGTTTTCTTTTTCTTTTCTGGCGTATGATGTATCTGTGCATGTGTATAAACCAAGGGGACAGCGTGCAGTCCAATTGCGATTTTGCTTGGGCCCAACAGCTTCCTCCTTCCGTTGCACTACAGACAGCTTCCTCCTCCATTGCACTACAGGTCCTTCCCCGATCCACGAAAGTTGCGGCTCATTAACGGGTAAGGCCTGCGGCCGATGTATGGGCCAAGTACTTGTGGTTTAAATTGCTAGTCCGAAACTTGTCGCCACAAGAAAACCAGGCCGAAATGTCAAACGCTGGGCCTGCCATTGATAAATAGTCCTGGCAGTCCCTTTTTCATTTCATGCTTCCGAGATTCGAGCTGTCAGGCCTGCATCAGGCGGGCGATACTGTGGACTTTATAGTGGAGGAGATGTGCTGTAAGCCTGTAACTATAGATAAGGTGAGGGTGGGAGGACAAGGGGCAACTGAACACATACAGGGCCTCGCTGCACTACTCTCAAAATGTACAAAACGAGAGTGAATCTTCTCCTAGAAGATGGAAAGATACACCACCATGAATTTTGTCTTTTGTGCATTTGGAGAGTAGTGCAGCGGGGCACAAAGACACACATAGGGCCTCGTTCCACACCACTAGAAATGTAAGTATTTTCAGAAAATCATCGTTCCACCACACCCTAATGACGGGAAAAAGGAAGTCCAAAATGTTTCCACATTTTGGGCATGTAGCGTCCGCTCCTAAAAAATAAGTGTGCCCCAGGCAAATCAACGAAAATCTCAAGGGCACCACTGGAGGTGACTTGTTTTTTTTTTTTTCCCAGTGGTGGTGTGAGAACCGCCAGAATTGAGGGCTTACCTGTAGGGCTGCTCCATCCACTGGTGGGGAGCTGCACCTGCTGGGAACCGGGCCCAGCGTCCCATTGAACATCTTGTGGTACAGAGTTTGGTTGACTTGTAATGTAAGGGCGGGACCCTACTGAGCGCATTATTCATGGAGTTGGTTCTTTTTTTTTTTCGCCCAGGCGAAGCAGGACTGTTCCTGGTTCAATACGTTCGTGTCTGGCCCTCCCGCGGGACAGTGGCACCCATGGATACCCGGTTCCGCAGTCCCTAGTGCCGTTGCGAGGCCATGGTAGCCGTTGGCAGGCGGCGAGGGAGTTGTGGAAGTGCGGGGGGCCGGATGGCCATTGGCGGTGGCTCGAATTTGAAAACTGCCGTTACGCAGTCCGTTGGCGAGGGCAGCACATGCCCTGCTAACGGCCAGCTGATAGCATTCTTCAAATGAGAGGGCAGGACAGAATGCTCCCGCGCTGCCAGGCGATCCATGTAAATGGCCACGCGTGTCCCCATATACCTTGTCGTTTTCAGTGGCACACATGGATACCCGGTACCGCAGTCCCTAGTGCCGTTGTGAGGCCATGGTAGCCGTTGGCAGGTGGCGAGGGAGTTGTGGAAGTGGCGGGGGCCGGATGGCCATTGGCGGTGGCTCGAATTTAAAAACTGCCGTTACGCAGTCCATTGGCGAGGGCAGCACGTACCCTGCTAACGGCCAGCTGATAGCATTCTTCAAATGAGAGGGCAGGACAGAATGCTCCCGCGCTGCCAGGCGATCCATGTAAATGGCCACGCGTGTCCCCATATCCCTTGTCGTTTTCAGCATTAGGTCGTACTGTGGTTGTCTTCTTCTCACCCGACGCACCTTTCATGTTGCAGACCGCCGACTTCGCACACCCACTGGGGTGCCCAGGCAAACTGGTTCATCCCGAAAATTACATGTCCCGCAGGCCCACAGGTCTGCCAAACCGCCTTCACGGACGTCCGCACCGGACACCGCGAGGTTCTAACACTTGGCCCTCCTCACCTGAGATGTAAGGGCAGGTAATTGTAGGGTCTTCCTTACGGGTTGTGGAATAAAAAAAAAAAAAAAAAAAAAAAGGGTAAAAACCACCAGTACCTACGGGTTGGAGCGGCAGTTAACCTGTCCAAATTTGTTCGAGGCCGGGGGGGTACGAAAAATGCGGTAGGTCCTTCAGGACATCCATTAATATTGGAACGATACAGAGAAGATTAGCATGGCCCCTCCGCAAGGATGACACACATAAATCAAGAAATGGTCCAAATTTTTTGGAAAAAAAAAAGAAAAAAAAAAGCAGTAGGTACTGGTGGTTTAAACCATCAGTACTTGGCCCAGCTATTGAAGCCGAGCCTGAATATGTCCTGCGCGCTGATTTTTGCCGAGCCTGCAGGGGGCGGGAACCAACATGGGACATTTGTTGCTTGGCACAGGTACCGGCCCTTATTCTGGACCTGCTGCCAGCAGCTGGAATGTAAAGAGGCAATGGTTTTCTTGTTTCCACTCGTGTACTGGAAAGATCTCGCTGGCAGGTATTGGATGCTCCCCGCGAGCCAAAGCACAAACAGCAAAGGAAAAAAAAAGCAAAAAAAACAAAGGAGAAAAGAGGTACCAAGCTCTGTGATTTTTTGGGATTTTTTGTGCCTGTTCTTTCCTAATTGAAAATTTCTTCCAAGGTTTGGTGCTGGAGGGAGGGGGTTGTGGTGGCTGTGACGACGGGCGATGACGTGCTCTGCGGCGAAGGGGCTAGTCTGTAGGGTTGAAATAGGGTACAGCAGCGGTGGAGATAGTGGCTTCATCGTGGTAAGACTTGCCGGAGTAGGGCTCAGGGGGATTTTTGGGGGGATATCTGCAACAAGTGCATGAAGGAGATGAATGATGGGATCTACAGCTATAGTGCTGATCGGTGGCTTGAGTGCTATTTGCCTTAGTCCTGAGTCCCGGTGGTTTGCGAAAAGACGAGGCCAGAACGACGCTGGTTGGTGCTGGGGCTTGGTCGCGCTGCCCTGTAACTTGAGCTGTACGAGGGCATGAGACCTGGTAGAGAGATCTGGGGAGTTGTCGAGGGTGGAAGGCACTCTAGTGTCTTTTGGTGAGCTGGTGCCTAGTCGATGCTGACCGGAGCCGGGCCGGGAAGCTTTGCCCTGTGGCCTAGCAGGTGGGGGGTTTCTGGGGTGGGTCATGCCACTCTGTAACCTAGCAGTTGGGGGCATGAGGCCTGGTAGAGATTGGGCATCGGGATATAGGGGTGAGGCAGGTAGGGTTGGGCTGCTGAAAGGCCTTAAGGCAGGTGTTTTTTTCGTTCAGAATCCTTCTTTGATCCGAGCTTTGGGGACACAGAGTTTCAGTGTTCTTGTATAGATTACACAGTTGTCTTTTGTAGCCGAAGCCGGGTAATGGCCCCGGTATCTCAAGGACTTCTCCATAAATTTCTCATTTTTTCAATGTGATCTTGAATGGGACGCTGGTCCCGGTTCCCAGCATGTGCTGCTCCCCACAAATAGATTGGAGCATGTACCTTTGTAAAAAAAAAAAAAAAAGAGGTACCAAGCTCTGTTTGTGCCCTCAGGTACATCCTCTGCTGCAGCGAGGTGCGGCCAGATACATTCTGGAGAGTGCTATGTCACAGTGAAACCCTGGAATTGAAACAGTTGGCACACATTGCATGCTCCCCGTCTCTCACAGGGAGCAGAAGCACGAACAGCCGAGATACTGCTTCCGAAAAACGAAAAAAGAAAAAGAAGAAAAAAAAAAAAGAAGGGGAAAACAGATAATAGGCTCTGAAGAGTCTGAACGTGATTGCCCTCATATACATCCTCTTCGGCAGCGATTTGCAGCCAGATACATTCTGGAAAGTGCTACGTCACAGTGAAGCCCTGGAATTGAAACTGTTGGCACACATTGAATGCTCCCCGTCTCTCACGGGGAGTGGAAGCACAAGCAGCAGAGATACTCTTCCAAAAAAAGAAAAGTAAAAAAAACACAAATGGGAAGAGGGACACCAAGCTCTGAACCTGATTGCCCTCATCCACTGTGCCCACAAGTGCAGCGAGATGCATTCTAGAAAGTGCTAACGTTACAAGGAAGCCCTGAAATCCGAAGGGGCTGGCGGGCACTCATGAAAAACCAGCAACATCTGCAAATACGGTTGGTCCAACGGACAGACATCAAAACGTCAGTCGGTGAATCAGTCCAACCCCATGCTGGGCCCACAAAAAAGAAACGCCCAATCCATCCCGAAGCTTCCCCGAAGCCTGGAAGTTGCGGCTTGGATTGGGTGCCCTGACCGGTCGAGGGTGATTAAACCTGGACTGTTTTTTTTTTTTTTGTAGGGCGCCCTAACCGGTCGAGGGTGATTAAACCACCAGTACTTGTGGGCCCGCCGATGTATGGGCCAAGTACTGGTGGTTTAATCACCCTCGACCGGTTAGGGCGCCCTACAAATGTAAGGAGTTGTAAGTGGTGTGGAACAAGGCCCATACAGCTAGAATTACAAATAAAATGGCAGGTAGTAATGGGAAAGCTGGTACTCCTGAGAAACAAGTCCCCTTGACTGGTAAAGAATTCTGCGGAGGGGACCAATCTTCAAGGAAGGAGATTGGGTGGTGGCCAAAGGGAGCCATGAACAGGTGGGCCAGGTCCATATGGTAGACTCACGCATGGCCCTGATAGAATATTACAGATGCCGACGGACCGGTAGGCCCGGTTCCCTCGGCTCGACTAGCGCCTGGGGAGGTGTGCTCCCAGGCTGCTAGGCCTGCACGCGCGCCCGGCAGAAGCGCGTGGCTCTTTGATTGCCACGTGGCATCCGCTGTAGGTGACGTGTGCGTCCATGACGCGCGGGCAGGGGTAGCGTTAGCGGTGAAGTACGACGACGAATAGCAATAGGTGGCGCAGCAATCTGGGTGTGGGATGGAGATGGAGGGGGAGCTACAACGTGGAGCACTTCCACTAGAGGATATGCTCTTCCATAATGAAGACGACCTCTTGCTTGCAGAGGATACTGAAGGTGAGCAAGGTGATAATTTCGACAGGCTCCGCTACTTTACAAACCTCTGTGCTGTGTGTGAGAGCTGGGATTCCGAAAGTGAGACGAGCTGTGATGTTGTTGTGCGTGAGAGCGACGAGCATGAGGGGGGGCCAGGAGAGAGGTGGGTTGACCTGGTGGCACTCTGCTATCCGGTAGAGGATGAGGGTGCCGCAGGTGATGGAGAGAGGGATTATGCCACTGATGACGCAGGTGAGTGGGAGGTTGATGATGAGAGTGTAGTTGGTGATGGTGACGCAGGTGAGTGGGAAGGGGAGTGGGGGCTATTGGCATCGGTGGAAATGGCGGCAACTGCGAAAGCAGAAGCAAATGCAATAGTAATAAGAACAACATCAACAACAACAATAATGGAGGTGGAGCAGGGGTGTATGGCAGAGGTGGTGGTTGTGGTAGACGACAGCCAAGGAAGGGGTGAGATTGATAAGAAGGGTGGGATGGGTGACGACGACAGGCAAGGAATGGGTGAGATTGATGAGAAGGGTGGGATGTGTGACAACAACAACAACAATAACGGCGGCGAGCAACGACTGAGTGAATTGGCTCAGACAGGCATGAAGGAGGATACCAACAACAACAACAGCAACAACAACAACAACAACAACAACAACAACAATAACGAGAACAACGATGGTGATCAGGGATTGGAGGTAAAGGGTGAGGAGGGTGAGAAGGATGACACTGTCAACAACAACGACGGTGATAACAACAACAACAACAACAATGGCAACATTAATATCAACAAGAATGACAACAATTACGACGACGGTGGCGACGATAACCATGGGGGCAGAGGGGCAGAGAGTGGTGTTTCTGCATCCAAGCTACTTATCAGCATCATGGGAAAGATGCCACCATCAGTACAGTGAGGGAGAATTAGTGGCTTGTTGGGGTTTGAGGTTGGAGGTAAGATTTATTGTTCCCCCCCACCCCTACCCGGTGTTTTCTCATGATGAATCGTGTCTTCTTTTCTGGTGCCGGGTGGGGATAGGATAGATGATCGCTCTCAGATGATTAGCCTTGATTGCCTCTCATCTTCCTAACCCTCAACTCTTAATTACGAAAGGATTGTTGATGATTACCTTTTCTATTGCTGGTGAGCATGTATGCGAAATAATTGGTATATACATCTTTTTTTTTTTTTTTTTTTTTTTTTGGAA